TTGTGTCTTGTCTGCACCATCACACTTCCTAACTTACTGAAGAAAATGTGGGAAGTTCAGCACTGTCTCTTGAGTCTGCCTTTTGAAGATGCTAGACTACAGAGGATATGAATGGAGGTGCTGACTGGCCAAGTACGCTTCCAAATTACAGCATCAATGCGCTTCGATTACCAAAATCTTTCCAAAAAGAGATTCCCTCCCCCTTTTAACAGAAAAGTAAGCTGAAGGAAAAAATTAATGGGGGAGGCAGAGAATATGTACAATAAACAATATGGGATATGTTTCTTTAGGAGAGCCAGCCTGCACAGTCTTAGGCAAGCTGCATATCCTACAGAGTCACTTGAAGAAGATGTTAAACCACCTCAGAATATATCTAGGAAATGCTTGTAAGGATCACCATAAGTCATATTCAACTTGACAACACAAAATTATTTATTAAACAAAATTAGACCAGGTGTACTTCAATGTATTTGGGTGGATGACTGTCGGGCCAGGCGTTCAAGTCCCCATTGGGTTTCCTGGGAGCAAGCGCCCGCCAAGATCAGCTGGAGAATGTATAACTTATACTACTATGTGCTCTGTCATCTGACCAAGCTGCACAATCCTATAGCACCACTGAATGAAAGACCAGAAAACCACTTCTGAGTATGGAGGGTTGCCATGTCAGAATCAACTTGACAACACATTATACACACGTTAACACATAAAGCATAGCGAGCCATAGCCAGAGTAGGCCCATTTGAATCAATGGAACGTACTATATATAGGAGTTGACTCACCAAATCCCCACTGAATCAAAGGGGCTACTCTAGTAATTTATTACATTAGGCAGCTTGCCTTTTGTGAAATCAGTGATGTTTTGCAAAATGAGTGAAAGATCAAAGGAATTACTTGGTTACACTTGAATACAAGGGCTACCTCTGCCTTTTATTCACTTTGCCAGCTTGGGCAAGTTACTTCTGTCTATCTAGTTCAGTGCTGTTCACAGTAGTAACCAGCAAAACATCTAACAATATAACTAAGAAGGAGTACAGTAACAGTAGTGTTTCTTTTTGTCCATAGCATTCTATATATACTCGTAAAGATAAAGTAGCCGTATCTCTCTGTGTTACATGTTGTTTATGCCTTGTCTACATATTTGAGAAAGAAAAGCATGGCATTATTATCTAATAGAATTTAACTAAAGAACAGGATGTACTTCTTTACAGGAAAACTCTTCTACATGATGCATTCTGTGATCGCACTCTGTACATTTTTTGTAACTAGACCCATAGTCTCATAGTTTAGCACAGTCTCGCAAGGAATCTGCATTTCACGTTATTACCTATATGCAGGTTGGCTGGGCTTAAAAGTTTAAGGCTTTCTATGAATAAAAGGACTTCTTTAAGCAAAACTGCCTTTGATGATTTTGTAAAATTAAGCCACCTTTGTCAAGATTAATGGTTTGCATCAAAAGCAATAAAAGTCTGACAACAGCACTGTGGCAACCACCAAACAAAGTCCTTAAAACAACAAAGTATAATAAAGGAACTGCAGAATGGTGTATTTAAAATGCACAGTCACACTTCTTGTAACCACAAGGGAACAAAAGGGGAGGGGAATGCATGTTTGTATCTATTTCATAATAATTTCCAGACCAAATGGAACAGAAATTTGCTTTGGCCTTATGAAATTGCATGGTGAGCTGATTGTTTATAACATCTGTTTAAGAGGTAAGCAAGTATTAATCTTACTGTAAGTGTGGTATTTTAATGTAAAAATGTGCCAAGTAAATATTTTACATTTCAATCTCAAAATGTTTATGTCAAAGTCTCATAGGTTTTAATATAGCTTACTCCTGAAACAGCAACCCCAAAATTTAATTGTTATGGATACTAACATAAGCAGCTACCTGAAATTAAATTTCATTACTGCAACTCCACATGGCATGTCTGTTGTTTCATTTGGCTTCCAGTGCAGTATAGATAATTATCTAGTATTCTGTGACTCACTAATTTAGTATGGGGAAGCATACTTTGTTTATGCTCATAGTGTTGTGGGTTCAACTCATAATCACTTTCATTGCAAAGACATAATTCATTTGCAGCTTCAACGGCTGTGAAAGAGCTAGCCCAGAACTTTAAGATCTGCTGCTGGTCAGAATAAGTGACACTGGACTTGATGGACCTGTGATCTGACTCCTATAAAATAGCATAATTAGTTCGTAACTAATATGCCCTTCAGCAGATTGCTAAAATGGCAGTTATTACAACCAATACAAACTAGCACTCAGGGTTAGATTTCTCAGGATCTGTTAATCTGATTTGTCCATGTTATGGTATTTGTCCCTGAATCAAATATTTCTGTTTTTGTACCATTAGCACTTCTACAGTAAAGCAATTGGGGGGAGTGGAATTGATCCCACTAGACACTGACGAAGAAAAAGCTACAATTTATTGCAAATATTGGGATATCTTCAGTCCACACATTTGTTGAAATTCCTGTTGCCTTGCACAGTAAGTTGCACTAGAGGAGGACCACTGAAAAAAATGGGGATCTGGTGAGTCAACTCCTCTGTAAGTTCTACAGATTCAAACAGGCCTATTCTAGTTGCAACTGACATACTAAAACAACAGGAATTTAGCCTTTATTTGTATTATTTTAGCAATAAAATCATTTTTCCTCATGACTTTTGGGTCTTAAAACTATTAAATATTTCTAAGATGAGACAGTGTGATATAGTGGCCAGAATGCTGAACTGGGAATGGGAAGATCCAGGACCTAGTCCCCACCGAGGTTTGAAATTCACTGGACAACCTTACGTCAGCTATTCTCTCAACCCAACCGGTACCACAAGGTTGTTATAAGGGATAAAAGAGAAGGAGAGGTTTAAAAGGTGCTGTGTGCTCATTAGATGAAAGGTGAGATATAAATGTGACAAATATTACATTTTAGTCTCTTCTATTATCCACAGCTATATTTTAAGATTATTAGCTATACTGGTTTCACAACATGTAGTATACACTTGCCAATTAATTCTGATCCATATTCTAAATTAATTCTGATCAATGTTCCAAATTTCAAATGGTTCTTGGCAATCATTTGAAATCCTTAAGAATCAGCACTCATGTAATGTGTGTTAAAGCAACTAGAAATGTCAGAACTGCACTGCTGAAGTTTACACTGAACGATACTAACTGCACAGTAGTTTTTGTGTTCGACAAATGTGTAGCATTCCACCAGAAATAACTGTGATAACTAACTGCATTTAAGTTTTTCATTCAGTTTAAGATTTTCTTTTGATTTGCAGGAGACATGTATCCTTTATAGCTTATACATTAAATTACCTGCTGCACTAGAGTGAATGTCAAATCTCTTGATCTGACATTCACAATACTGTATATACAATCAACATCATGTGCTGTCAAGTCAATTCAAGGCTTTCCAGGTAGAGAAATCTAAGAAGTGATTTCAGATGGGGGCACCCTGGGATTATGCAGCTTGCCCAAGGCCACATAGGCTGGCTCTACTCATAGGAAGCACAGTGGGGAATTAAACTCCCAACATCTGGCTCCATACCCAGATATCTAAACCACTGATCTATCCAGTTGCATATACAAGAAGTAAAACTGCTAATATTTCAGAATTATTTAATATCATTGAAAATAAAAGCCAGAGGATTGGATTCATATTTTGTACAGCAATTTTCCATAATAAATCAAGAGCAAAAATGAATTCAAGAAGTGTTTCATTGAAATAACACAAAAATCAAACTGAAACTATCACTACTGAGCCCAGGATCAAATCCACAATCATCATATTACAATGAACTGTCTCTAGCCAACCAGTAGGAATCTCTCTATGTCAGTATACTCTTTCCTTCTTCTATATTAAATTTCATTGTTCACATACTACTTTTTGTTATGATTTGCCATGATGGCAAATTATGGTTAATACTAATCTCCAAACCAAATAATCATCTCTACCTAACTTTCCTCCTAGTTTGATGGTAGATAAGAATGTTAAACTTAGTATGCAAGAAAGTAATACAGAAATAAACAACAACTTTCACCAAATTTTATAATTAGCAAAACTAAATGGACTTAAGAAGCAAATTGCAATAAACAAGCATACTGCACATTATAAAGCACACAGTCCATTTAGCAATCAAGCTGAGAGATTTAAAACCAAACAGAAACCGGTAATCGCTGGTCAATGGTCTGGGTTTTCCATCACAAAGCTGTGACATGGACACAGCATTCTAAAGTATTCAACTAACAAGCTTTATGAAGGCTGTGTTAAATCTACACTGCTTAATGACTATAAATCTCTTGATCTGACATTTGGCTGCAGGAGAATAATTGAACTTGAAGCCCTGAAAGAGACTGATCATAAAATTGAAAAGAAATACTAAAAATTATTCAGATATCCTTATTTTTGCAACCAAATTGCAGATAGATTATTAATTTTATGCACCAATTTGTATTCCTCCACATGCACTAATAATTTGGTACTGTTATTAGAAATTAGCACAGAAACAAAAACCATCCACCCATGCAAACCATTTTTATTATCAGTTGTTCACAGAATAAAATGGGTGTACAAGTGTCAACTGTAATACTCCCAGCACACTAATCTTATTTTTTTTAAAGGAACATACTGCATTAGCTAGGAATCACTTTTGTAAGGCAATACTGTACGATCTGGCCATGCAATTATGCTCAGAAAGACTTACATACGGAATTGTAGAGAGAAGACCCAGTCCTCAGTGTTAATTGTAACAGGCTCTAAAGGATATCACAGTACAGTATATATCTTCATATGTTATGTACCAAAAACTCACTGGAATGCGTTAATATGAAAAGCATTTACACCTCAATACAACACAATATGTTCCCCATACTCCATTTTCACTCCAGCAGTGTTCTCCCCCATACTATTTGGTTTGTTATTGTCCCAACCGGCTTTTAAGTACACAGAGTGTGCCTACAGTTGTACTCTCCTTTCAACAAGTACTATACCTGCCAAGTTCCTCTCCGACCTCATAGTGATCATCCAGATTCTCTTGCCTGAAAACAGTCATGATAACTGCCACTCCTCGGGAACAAAAACCCAAAAACGGAGTTCGCCGCCCTTTCCTTTTCAGCTCATCGCCACACTGTCGGTAGGTTCCTCCAGCACTGCACGCATGGCTGCCAGCCCTAAAGTGAAAGGCAAGGAGAGGGACGGAGGAGGATTATTAAAATATCACTTGTTTGCAAGAGGGGTGTGGCTATGTCAATACGTGCACACGCCAGGCCGGTTAAGTGCCAAATGTCAAAAATGATGAACCGATAGCGCCAAGTGTCTTAGGATGCCTCCCTTCTCCTCCTGCCTTGCTCCTCAAAAATCTCCAGAGGAGAAAACACTCCAGCCGGAGAGAAGGAAACGCGTTTTCCTAACATGCCTCCTCCTCAGGGGCGACAAGGAGGGAAGAGAGAGAGAGAAAAGAGAGAAGCAAAGGCGTAGCTTGGGACCTTCCAAGCGCCCGCTTTCCGTAACACGCCGCTCACCTTTGGTTCCCCCCTCAGCAAAAGCAGGAACACCAGCCACCATTTCACCTCAGGAAGGCGCCTCCGAGCCGCACGGACGCCACATTCCTCAGCGACTCCCCCTTCCGTTACCCGGTCAACTAGGACGTACTACCAGGAGGAGCCGCCGCCGCCGCCGCCGCCGTTTCTACTACTGTTGCTACAGAGAGTAGTGAAGGCAGCCTTTAAAAAAAAAACCCGCTCGGTCGTCCGGGGGTTGCGCGTGAAACAGAGGAGGGAAATCACCTCACGAGGAAGCTACAAGGACTGGCATTCCCCGCCTTCTCTCTCAGCCGGCGAACCTGACGACTAGGGGCGCCGCCGGGGAAAGGGGACCCTCCTTCCTTCCTTCCCCCCCCCTTCTCCTTCCACTCTCGGCTCTCCTGCAAAAGGCCCTTTCTGCAAACGCTTCCCCCTCCCCCCGAACGACGCGGGCGAAAGAGGGAAGTCAGCGGCTTCCTCAAGCAAGCAGCCTGGGAAGGAGAGAAAGGGAAGGACTCCTCGCCTCCCTCCCTCGTTCTGTTGCTGCAGGG